CCCAGGGTCCTGAACATGGTAACTGTCCAGGGTTCTAAACATGGTAACTGTCCAGGGTCCTAAACATGGTAACTGTTGACATTCCTGAACATGGTAACTGTACAGGGTTCTAAACATGGTAACTGTCCAGGGTTCTAAACATGGTAACTGTTGACATTCCTGAACATGGTAACTGTCCAGGGTCCTAAACATGGTAACTAACCAGGGTCCTAAATATGGTAACTGTCCAGGGTCGTAGAAATTGTAACTGTCCAGGGTCCTAAACATGGTAACTAACCAGAGTCCTGAACATGGTAACTGTCCAGGGTCCTGAACATGGTAACTGTCAAGGGTCCTGAACATGGTAACTGTCCAGGGTCCTAAACATGGTAACTGTCCACACTCCTGAACATGGTAACTGTCCAGGGTCCTAAACATGGTAACTGTCCAGGGTCCTAAACATGGTAACTGTTGACATTCCTGAACATGGTAACTGTATAGGGTCCTAAACATGGTAACTAACCAGGGTCCTAAATATGGTAACTAACTAGGGTCCTGAACATGGTAACTGTCCAGGGTCCTAAACATGGTAACTAACCAGGGTCCTAAACATGGTAACTGTCCAGGGTCCTAAACATGGTAACTGTTGACATTCCTGAACATGGTAACTGTATAGGGTCCTAAACATGGTAACTGTCCAGGGTCCTGAACATGGTAACTGTCCAGGGTCCTAAACATGGTGAGTGTTCAAAGTCCTGAACATAGTAATTATATCCAGGGTCCTATGCACAATAAATCCATGGTTAAATTAAAAAAAGTTTGCAGGAAACTGGTAAATATATATATATACAGAAATATGAGTGAGAATGACTTGAGAATAAAACATAATTTTTGAAAATGCACAATTCTTCAATTCAAATCAAGTCAAAGAAGCTATGTTCAAAAAATAACAGAAACTACAAATATCACCACTTGATGGCGCTGTACATGTACAGTGAATACCTATATAAAGTGTTGCACAAAAGTCCTAATCTGCGTAATTGCAAATAAAATTGTCATGACAACTACATTCAAGTCAACAGTATATCCATTTGATAGTGTGATAATTTTTTCAGTGTTAATCCTTACCAGATGCACACCTTGACTCAAGTACAAAATAAATGTGAAATACTATACTACACTTCACAAAAAGCGCATACAGACCCTAGGTTCAGGATTTGTTAACCAATCTGACTGCCCTAATTTTGACAGGTCCTTACTGAATACAATATTCTACTCATATCTATGTGACAATGTTCCTGATTCCATGCTGATCAAATGAAATCTTATGTAGAGTGATATCTGATTAGTAATATGACACAACATGGAAAATACTGAAATATAGGGTTGCTATGATCACATGTATCATTTATACTGAAGAAAACTTATATTGAATTATCTTCTCAATTTCATTAATGACTACCACAAGTCTTGGCTTGAGTATTTATGGTTCGTCATAGTGCGTCACTATATTGATTTAATTTATGGAATGTACAATGTACTTGTTTTCCAGCTGGCAACAATTGTCTTCTACTTCAAATTGTCAGTATTGTATCTTCTCATGGTTTGAGTCTACACTCTAGAAACAGGATACCATATTTGCTCTATTAGAAGCACCAATAAAATTGCATATCAATCAAACACTGCATGTACTGCGTATTTGACAATTAAATACAACTTTATTTTTTGATCATGGCCATACCTCCGTCATTAAAGTAATAGCTACTAAGGACAAAAAAAAAACTGTACTAA